ATTATTATTATTATTATTATTATTATTATTCTCAATGTAATATTTGGGAAAGGGCAGGGAGGGGAGAAAAGGTAAATGAATCACATGAATATGAATCACATGTAAATGAATCACATGCATGAATATGAATCACATGAAAATGTAAATGAATCACATGAAAATGAATCACATGCATAAATATGAATCACATGAAAATGAATCACATGCATGAATATGAATCACATGAAAATTAATCTGAATCACATGTAAACGAATCATATGAAAATGAATAAATAAACAAAGGCAAAAAGAGACAATACGTAAGACGAGGAAGCAGTACAAACAGTGGTTATATATAGGTGTGCTCGTTAAGCAGAAACGTGATACAGGTGCAGGTGGTCATGTGACAATGATGTAGTATGGTGCAGTGGCTGCTGGGAAATTACCTCCTTGATATATGACAAAAACAAGTTTGATCACTTTTATCCCGTTAAAGCCGCTATAACCAGTCATTCCCTCTTCAGCGTTTCTTTTTCTCGCTCTCTCTCTCTCTCTCTCTCTCTCTCTCTCTCTCTCTCTCTCTCGCAGCTTGTCAAGTTACTGAGAAACCAGAAAGCCCTCCTTCCTAAAAACTGTCCAGTGTCAGAGAATGTAAAGTTACAGCTTTACCTCCGACTGGTACAAAGCACTGACACCGGAGACTCCTTACACACATGTCTAAATAAACATCTCCTTACAGACAAATTCACCGTATTCTGCTTATGTTTTTATCACACAAGTCCCTGTGATAGAAACTATAACACACGGTCAGGTCGACGGTGACGCTGTATTCGTCATTGTGCGTCTGTACACCACCACGGTGGATTTAAAACGAAGCGATCACGATGTGAATAAAGTGTAGACTTTCAGCTTTAATTCAAGGCCTTTAACAAAAATACTGCATTAACCGTTTAGAAATTCGAGCCACTGAGTCGCTCCATTTTCACAGGCTCAAAAGTAATTGATAATCTAACAATCATAAATATTAGGATTATTTCTCATTCTTGGATGCAAATCGTTTGCAGTCTGTCAGGACGTATTCATGGACAACGATAATCTGATATTAACCCGATTAACACGATACTCAGGTTAAGAAACTAACATATAAACAGAGATTATTGATGACCTTAATCTGACTAAAGTCATACTCGAAGTAAACACAAATGGAATTAAGACGTGTGGAGTACTCCTGTTTTAGTCGCATTATCGACGTGCGTTACACACCTTACTAACGTCGTGTGGGAGTTTTCACCGCATTGTGAGACAGGACACGTACACATCACGGCAGCGCTCAAGCGTTTTACGGCAGACAAGAGCGCACGGCTGCGTCCCAAACCATGTACATACATACTGTATAGTAGGTATAATACACGTATTTCGGTTACTATATAGTATGAAAGTACGCGGTTTGGGACACAGCCCACAGCTTCAAGCAGTCGTCTATTAGCACGTACAGCATGACAAATAATTAACTGCACTTGAGGTTTTTGTAAAATTAAAAATAAAATCACCCAAAACTGTAAACGGTTCCATGACGAAGACAAACTGTACGTCAATACATAAAATTCTGGAGGAAACGTCGGACGACGTGGCGTGGGGACGTAATGACATGTACCGTTAATCGCTCTATGTTCTATAACATGTAAAATGGAAACAAGAAAGGAGTATTCTAAAAGCGACTCATGTAAACACCTTAATCACAATATTGTCTTATTCAGAATAAGGTCAATAATTAGATTACAGAGTCACATTGATAATAGATAGTCACATCTTGACTGCTTCATTTCAAATCCATTGTGGTGGTGGTGTACAGAGGTCAAAATTGTTTCACTGTCCAAATATTAATGGGCCTGACACCATTAGGGCGAGGGGTATATAACATACTGTATATCTGTAAATTGCGACTCATGTAAACACCTTAATCACATCTCAAATTCACTACTCTCAGAGCTGCTGTTATAGAAAATGAATCAACACCTTGTGACCAATCAGAAGCGAGCATTCGGCAGCGCTGTGGTATAAAGGGCTGAAATGTTTGTGCCAGTGCTACGCGGAGAATAATAACTCCGACGTAGATGCGTTCATAGCTCGTCTCTAATCTCAGCATTAGAGCCCAGCGAGGATGGTATTGTGTGTGTATCAGAGCTGCTGTCGCGCTCATTGTGATCAGAGCAGGGTTTAAATGATCTGCTGCTGACTCGCTTCATTCCCGCCAAACGCTGCTTTCATTCACTGATGCTTTACAACAACAGATTTTGGAGGATCTGTCACTTGGTGTCATGACATACCAGATAAACAGCATGACATGATAAGTAGGGAATAAAACACTTCAGGGTATGCTGTTATAGGAAAATGATCAACGTTAGGGTGGTGTGATGAAGTGGAGTTACTATGACAGCACTGAAGTTGATTATTGTCCTATAACAGCACATCTCAAAGTGTTTCATTCCTCTCAAACCACAGCAACTTCCCGATGCTAAACAACATAGAATAGAGAATACACAGAAAGATATTTATTTGTTTAAAAAATAAAGAATGATGCATTGATCTATTTTTTTTAATATAATGTTGTGGAACATTAGCTCCTGTTCTAACGGTCATTCGTTAGCGAAAAACCGCAAACTTTTCTGTCACCAAGACTTTCTCGTGTCAGAAAACACCTTTACCTCTGGCTGATACAAAGCGTTGACACTGGAGACTCATTGCCTCAGACAATTCAAATAGCATATAGGCGCGCGCGGTGGCTTAGTGGTTAGCATGTTTTTTACGTTTCACACTTTCAGGGTTGGGGGTTCAATTCCCGCTGCTGCCCCTCTGTGTGTGCGGAGCTTGCATGTTCTCTCCGTGCTGCGGGGGTTTCCTCCGGGTACTCCGGTTTCCTCCCCCAGTCCAAAGACATGCATGGTAGGCTGATGGGCGTGTCTAAAGTGTCTGTAGTGTATGAATGGGTGTGTGAGTGTGTATGTGAGTGTGCCCTGCGATGGACTGGCACCCTGTCCAGGGTGTACCCCGCCTTGTGCCCGATGGTCCCTGGGATAGACTCCAGGTTCCCCGTGACCCTGAAGGATAAGCGGTATAGATGAGAGATGGATGGCTGTACTAGCATATTCCTTGTTACATCATGACCTAAAGACTGCAGCAACTAAAAAAAAGTGAAAGAAAATAGTTATGTGCTGTCTTAAAGCCATGTGTGAAAGAACAGTAATGTCAAAAGTGCCAGAAACATTCCTAAAAATACAACTATTAAAATAAATCTAAACATTTTTATTACTAAATAATAAATGCATTGTTAGTTTTCATCATATTAAAGTAGAGACTGTATCTGTTTGTTCCAGGTCTTTAAGCTTTGTTCTCTTACAAACACACACACACACACATGAATCAGCTGTTTGACTTACTCCCAGCTCTACAAGGGAGTAAAAGAAGAGAGAGACTGAAGAAGTTTATCTGAAAAGAAGAAGAAAGCTGGAGAGTTTATTTTGGAGAATGTACTCGTTTGACTTGCGGTTTTGAACTTTTACACTCTTTTCTCTTTCACAACTCTCTGTCTCTCTGAATGTTTACCGTCTGAAAGGTCTTCCCTCAGTTACGGCTTCTGAGGCAACCGACGCTTACTCCCTGCGCAATCCACTCAGCATGGTGAATGCTCTCTTATTAATGACGCCACCTCTCTAATCCTAAAGCACAAATCAGCTGAGGACGTACGCTGGAGACGCTCCATCACGCTAACCACGCTGTTAGCATGCACACTGTAGCTCTCTTTTCGCCTGCATGGTTCACCATTCAGGTTAATGGAAAAGACTCAGATAATACAATTTTATTCAGGATCTTTCAGCTGCTCCTCACTAACTCTCATGTAATTGTGTTGGCATTTTACCTGTCAGCCATTTATCCTTTCTTCCACCTGTGAGCCATTTGGCAGTGGTGGCTTGGCGGTTAAGGCTCTGGGTTACTGATGGGAAGGTCAGTGGTTCAAGCCCCAGCACTGCCAAGCTGCCACTGTTGGGCTATGAGAAAGTGGCTGCAGAAAGCGGGAGTTTTAACCGACTTTGGAGCTCTATTTCTGGCTGAAAGGACACCTCAGACGTTGCCACAGAGCTCATTTTCCATAGTCCTTATTTCATAGATGTCATGGATATCCCGGAGGGAAATCCGGACTACAGTTCCCAGCAGCCAATGCACCACATCATGTCACATGACCACCTGAACTTCATTCTCGTTAACCAGCACTTACGGGTTTTTATAGCCGCAGTTTGCACTACATTGTTTGTCTTGTGTTTGTCTTCCTTTTGAGCGAGGAGCAATATTAATACCCCGTCTGAAAATTTGACGTAATCACAATATGTGAAAAGTTTCATGTTTCAGGCTGTAAACACACTCACAAAAATGATGGCATGCCATTTGAGGTCAATATCTATGTCTATGTGGAATTGAGATCCTTAACCTTTTCCATTGTACTTCAAGCGGTATCATCCTAATCAATCTCCACACTGTAGTCTCCAGTAGATGAGAGCTCCATGAAGAGGTAGGGCATCTGAACGGATTAGGCAGATCCAGAGAGCAGAAAGTGTCAGGATCACTGGAATCCCCATAAAATCATGTGTGGCTCGACACGAACATGAACTTTTAAGTCGTCAAAAGGAATCCATCGTTTTACCTCACAGACCAACTGGGTTTAGGATATAAAATAGCCATAGCGCATTATTTTTTATTCAATAAACCAACTTGTGTGTGTTTAAGGGTTATAACTTTAAGGTTATAGTATGCAGGCAGCTCTCATAGAGATCTGGTAAAGCAGTACGAGAAGAAAGAAGAGAAAGAGAGAAATAGTGGAAATGACACGAGATTGAAGATGAGATCATAAAATCCCACAAATGATGACTGGCCGAATCAACATATTGGAGCTGAAGCTGATAATGTTGGTGAGGGCTTAGGGCAAATATCTTTTTTTTTTTTTTTTTTAAATATATAAATAAATATGGGCCCACGGTGGCTTAGTGTATAGCGTCACACCTCCAGGGTCCGGGGTTCGATTCCCGCCGGGGCCATGTGTGTGTGGAGTTTGCATGTTCTCCCCGTACTGCGGGGGTTTCCTCCGGTACTCCGGTTTCCTCCCCCAGTCCAAAGACATGCATGGTAGGCTGATTGGCGTGTCTAAAGTGTCCGTAGTGTATGAATGGGTGTGTGAGTGTGTATGTGATTGTGCCCTGTGATGGATTGGCACCCTGTCCAGGGTGTACCCCGCCTTGTGCCCGATGCTCCCAGGGATAGACTCCAGGTTACTCGCGACCCTGAAAAGGAATAAGCGGTAGAAGATGGATGGATGGATATAAATAAATAAATTATTAAATAAAATTAACAGTATACTGATGGAAGTGCTTTAATTGAACCATTTAATTTTACACCACTCAACTATAACATTAAAACCATCTGCCTAGTACAATATTTGCCTTTACTTGTGACACGAACACAAACTTCTATAACATGATTCATTTATTTACACACACTAACCCTAGACCTTTATTTTTTTTTTTAATAAATAGACATGTCTTCCATGCTTATTTCTTCCTCCCTATAAAGATGTGTTAAATTCTGAATCACCTACCAGTCAAGTGCAAAGGTTTGTGTCGCCCTATGCTCTCTAGGTGATGCAAAGTTGGGAAGGGTATGCAAACTTTTGGTAAATGTGCACTTATATAGCGCTTTTCACACACACTGCCACGCAAGGCACTAGCTTGCCATCGGGAGCAACTTGGGGTTCAGTGTCTAGCCCAAGGACACTTCGGCATGTGGAGTCACGCGGTCTGGGAATCGAACCGCCAACCCTACGATTAGTGGACAACCCACTCTACCACCTGCGCCACAGCCGCCCCATAACTTTTGCACTCATCTGTAAATCACAACAAAATATCCACGTACATGTGGTGTATAACATGCATGGTCAATCCGTGCATGCACAGTGTATCTTTTACCTTTATATTATTATTATCCATCCATCCATCTTCTACCGCTTTATTCCTTCTTCAGGGTCACGGGAAACCTGGAGCCTATCCCAGGGAGCATGGGGTACAAGGCGGGGTACACCCTGGACAGGGTGCCAGTCCATCGCAGGGCACAATCACATACACACTCACACACCCATTCATACACTATGGACACTTTAGACACACCAATCAGCCTACCATGCATGTCTTTGGACTGGGCGAGGAAACCGGAGTACCCAGAGGAAACCCCCGCAGCACGGGGAGAACATGCAAACTCCGCACACACATGGCCCTGGCGGGAATCGAACCCCGGACGTGTGAGGCGAACGTGCTAACCACTAAGCCACCGTGCACCCTATTATGATTATTATTATTATTATTTTGGAAATACAGCATGTACTCATAGTCGGTTCCTAGTGTCAGGGGATGGATTTTTCAACAAGATGATGACCACACAAACACATCCAGCCTCTGGATCTGAACTCTACTTTAAAAAAAAAAACCGTGGTCTGAATTGAAGAGGGAATTCCACATGATCCAAAGGAGCTTGAGATGTTTTGCACGAAGCACTGTCCGGGATTCAAATGGAACGGACTGTATAGCAAAGATGACACAGCAGTTTAGCAATTCAACAACTTTTGTCTGTGTGTGATGTTTCCAGGATTAGCACAATGGAGAAGGCAGACTAGCATTCTGTTTCAATCAGCAGATTACGCAATCGCACCAGTGTTCATTAAAAAATGCCCACACACAGGGTGAAACATGGAGTTATACCAACATTTACACACAAGAGTGTTTTATTTCACTCTCACATCTCTCACTTTCTTTCTCTGCGTGTGTCTCGATCTCTGGGTTTTTTTTTTTTTTTTTTTTCTCTCCTTGAGCGATGAATAGAATTTTTGTGCCTCCATGTGGCCCCACAGTTCATCACACACACACACACACACACACACTGAAGAATGAGAAAGAAAGATGTTTGTCACTGACTGGACAGGCATAAACAATTCTCACACAAAGAGTTGGAGTGACACACAACCCCTATCCCCCACTTTCTCCCCTCCTTTCTCCTCTCCCTTCTCTCTACCCCCGTCGCTCTATAAAAGTCTTCTCTGCATTCACCCACGGCCTCATTTACCACTCATCATGGAGACCCAGCGTGTCCTCTCGTCCTACCGAAAGCGTTTCGGGACTCAGAGCAGCCCCTCAGCCCCGCATGTCACCAGGAGCCTCGGGCGTCTGTCCCTCCACAGCACCCCACGCCACACGGCCCTGTCCAGCCAAAGCGTGTCCCGTCTGTCCCTGGGAACCGAGAGGCTTGACTTCTCAGCCGACTCGCTGCTGAAGGCTCAGTACCGTGAGACGCGCACCAATGAGAAGGTGGAGATGATGGGCCTGAATGACCGCTTCGCCAGCTACATCGAGAAAGTACGTTTCCTAGAACAGCAGAACAAGGTGCTGGTGGCTGAGCTGAATCAGCTGCGTGGGAAGGAGCCAAGCCGCCTGGGGGACATCTACCAGGAGGAACTGAGGGATCTGCGCAGGCAGGTGGATGGCCTGAACAATGCCAAGGCACGGCTGGAGATTGAGAGGGACAACCTGGCAGCTGATGTGGGCACACTGAAGCAGAGGTGAGGGAGCCTGAATGGATGAATGGATGGAAGGATCAGTTGTGGGATAGATGGATCAACGTGAGTGCTGTTGGTGAATTGATGAATGGATTGGTGGAGGGATTTCTGAACTGACTGTGGTATGTATGGATATGTGAATGGATTGGTGGAGGGATGGGTGGATCAATGAATGTCTGGGTAGATTGGTAGAGGGATAAATGGATTATCTAATGTGTGGGTGGAAGCATGGGAAGGATTGATTGATAGTTGCATGGACTGGTGTAGGTATGGATAGAAAGGTATGCACTGATTGGTGGTCGGATTAGTGGAATTGATGGATAGATGTATGGATGGATGTATGTATGGATGGATGGATGGATGGTTGGATGGATGAATGGATGGATGTATGGTTGGATGGATGGATGTATGTATGGATGAATGGATGGATGGTTGGATGGATGGATGGATGGTTGGATGGATGGATGGATGGATGTATGGATGGTTGGATGGATGGATGGTTGGATGGATGGATGGATGGATGTATACCAATCATTATAGGACTGCAAACAGTGCAGCATACAACAAATACAATCAGAGAGAAAACTACATGCTCTGTTTATGTGTTATACTGTAGTTTCATTTTTCATGTCATGCCATAAAAATAAAAATAAAGTTAGTTATAAAGTTTTGCAACAAGAACTTAATGAATGAAGTTTGAACTGAGTAGGAGTGATAGACTTGGAAGAACATGCCAGAAGACAAAGCACTGAGGGAGTGTGAAACTCAGCAGATGGGTAGATTGCAAAACACCCTCAAAGGTCAGCAGGCTGACAGGCATCCATTCAATCTGTGTTCAGTGAGCAGTTGCCAAAAAAACAAGCAGGCATATAATTATGCCAGACGTGACTTTAAACATAAATATGATAACACTGACAGTGGAATATGGCGATAACGCGGCATTTGCTCATACTTTCATTCAGCTGCCTGTTTTTAAAGCCTGACACTCTGTAAAGCCTGATCCCTGAAGCTTTCGGGATGGGGGGCAGGGATGGGCGGATCAGGCTCATGTTTGAAAAGAAAAGCAAGTGGATGAATGAAATGTGCACAGGGGTATTGTGGTTCCCACAAAGAGCCTAAATCCCTGTGCAGACGTCCTGCCGCCCCAGCAAGAACTGGCATATTTTCACGGCTACGCTGGCACTAAACACCTGCACATCTACGTCTATACTTATATAGTTGGTTTTTTTATTCAGTTTTAATAATTCCTACTCAGACTCTTATACTTAGTACAACTGTACCAAACTGAGAAAAGTCTTAGATAATATACAAAAAAAATCATTCATTGAAATTCATATTACATTGAATAAAAGATCTCCAGAGATCACAGCGTCCGGGTTTGAGGTAATTGGGAATTTGATTTGGAAACATAATGATTAAAAACAGCTTTGCTATTCATTCATTAATTTATTCATTCATTCATCCGTTCATTAACTTGTTCATTCATTCATTTATTAATTAATTCATCGATTTGTGAATTTATTCATTCTTTTTTATTCTTTCATTCATCCATTCATTAATTTATTCAATCATTTATTCAATTTGTTAATTTATCCATTCGTTTGTTTATTCATTCATTCACCCATTCATTCATTTATTCATTCATTTATTCATTCATTAATCCATTCATTAATTCATTCATCAATTCGGAACATTTTGCCTACAGAGTCTGCTTGCTTAGATTGATACACTGTGTGGCCAAAAGTATGTGGACAGCTGACCATCACACCCATACGTGGTTCTTCTCCAAACTGTTGCCACAAAGTTGGACGCACACAATTGTATAGGATGTCATTGTATGTTGTAGCGTTACAATTTTGCTGCTCTGGAACTAAGACGCCCAAACCTGTTCCAACATGATAAAATCACAAAGCGAGCTCCATGAAGACATGGTTTGCCAAGTTTGGAGAAATGTAAAGAACTGGAGTGTCCTGCACAGAGCCTTGACCTCATCCCCACTGAACATCTTTGCGATGAACGGGAACACCGACTGCACCCCAGGCCTCCTCGCCCGACCTCAGTGCCTGACCTCACTTCCCAGAAGAGTGGAAGGTATTAGAATAGCAAAAGCTGGACCATCGTCGTGTTAACGCCCTTTGTTTTAGAATGGTTACGTATGGGTGTGATGATCAGGTGTCCACATACTTTCTACCAGTGCTACTATATCTCTGTACTGCTATTGCTGAGGTCTATTTTAGTCCTAGGGATAGAAATAGTCACTGCAATTTTCTTTCCTACAGTTATCACCTTTACACTGCTGTCCAGGGATTTTGAAAGGATTTACTCTGGCTTGTCACACCTAATTGAAGTAATACGAGTAATTCAATGAAGATGAGGTCTATTTCTCCTTTATAACATCTTTGGTTCCTTGACTGTTTGAAAAATATGGCTCTTTTTTA